GGGGCCGTGGGGTCTAGATCAGGGCTATGTTGAAGGCTTTGCTGCTGTTTTGGTCGACTTGTCTGCAGTTTGACTTGGGCGGGTGGTTTATTGCGTAGTCCGCGTGAAACACAAAAAATGAAAAATGCGGTCCGACAAGTGTAAGAAGGGTGGTTTTGAGAGTTTTTTGGTCGTTTTTGTTGCTTACGAAAGCTTGCTCCAGTGGGTGGTCAAATTTGGTGCACGTTTGTGAAAATCTTCGGGGATCTTGGTGCATTCTTGGGACATATCCTTTTCCATATTGGCGCATTTCACCCAATGTTGGGGCTTCTCGTGGAGGTTGTTGGAAGTGATTGGGGACCGTGGGGTCTAGATCAGGGCTATGTTGAAGGCTTTGCTGCTGTTATGTCACTTGTTTCGCCCAATGCTGGGGCTCTCTTGAGGCTTCTCGTGGAGGTATGTTGGAAGTGATTGGGGCTGTGGGGTCTAGATCAGGGCTATGTTCAAGGCTTTGCTGCTGTTCTGTTACTTGTTTTGCAGCCATGTTGGTCCGCTTGGCTGCTTTATCTCTGCCGTTTGACTTGGGCAGGTGTTCTTTTGCGTAGAGTGTGTAAAGCACTATATATAAAATTATAGACCATGAAAAATGAGGTCCGGCAAGTGTAAGAAAGGTGGTTTTGACAATTTTTGGTCGTTATTGTTGCTTATGCAAGCTTGCTCCAGTGGGTGGTCAAATTTGAGGCATGTTTGTGCCAATCTTCGGCGATCTTGGTGCATTCTTGGGACATACCCTTTTCCATATTGGCACATTTCACCCAATGTTGGGGCTCTCTTGAGGCTTCTCGTGGAGGTATGTTGGATGTGATTGGGGCCGTGGGGGCTGGATCAGGGCTATGTTGAAGGCTTTGCTGCTGTTATGTTGCTTGTTTTGCGGCCATGTTGGTCCACTTGGCTGCTTTATCTCTGCCCGTTTGACTTGGCAGGCGGTCTTTTGCGTACTGTGCGTAAAACACCAGAAATCCATGAAACATGAGGTCCGACAAGTGTAAGAAAGGTGGCTTTGACAGTTTTTTGTCGTTTTTGTTGCTTACGAAAGCTTGCGCCAATGGGCAGTCAAATTTGGGGCATGTTGCGCCAATCTTCGGCGATCTTGGTGCATTCTTGGGACATATCCTTTTCCATATTGGCGCATTTCACCCAATGTTGGGGCTCTCTTGAGGCTTCTCGTGGAGGTATGTTGGAAGTGATTGGGGCTGTGGGATCTACGTTGAAGGCTTTGCTGCTGTTATTTTACTTTTTTGCGGCGATGTTCGTCCACTTGCCTGCTTTTTCTCTGCCGTTTGACTTGGGCAGGTAGTCTTTTTGCGTCATGTGTGTATAACATCGTAAAAACCGGACAGACTTAGGTCCGACAAGTGTATGGTTTCTCTGCCGTTCGACTTGGGCAGGTGGTCTTCTGCGTAGTGTGCGTAAAACACCGTAAAGACCGTGAACAAATTAGCTCCGACTACCCTGCAGCAATAAAATGTTGCTGCTCCGCTTTCCGTGTTTTTCCGACCTGGTTCGCAGGTCCTGACGCTTATCAGAAACTTGAGGGAGGGCTTCAGAAATCACCTTTTGCAATCTGGGGTGTTATACAGCCAATCTCTGAGTCCGACCTGTTGAATTTCCACCACCTGAGGACCTGGCATACAGAAAACACACGAACATACTTGAAAGCATGGTATTATGGTGTGACCTCCTCTATGTTTTGGTGGCTGTCCCGATTCCAACAACTCTTGTCTTGTCTTCAAGAAGGCCTCGCAACGTTTCCACTGGCATAGCACGGTGTTGCTTTCAATCGTTGGCGTGGGTGTCGTCAACGGGTGCGTTTAGAATCAAACACATGCCTTCTGGTTCCCCTTGTCTTCATCACCCAACTGCTTTACAAGGTTTGAACATGTTTCAACATACTCATGCTCGCCCGCTGACGTCAAGTTGACTTCTCTGCTCCATCCCATTCACACGCTCGCATCGAGCCACTCTGAAGGCTCAAAGACTGTGAGGGTACCAGCCTGGCGCAGGCTAAGACGCATTCATTTGGAGCTCCCGTTTCGGTCCAGCGTTTTAGGTGGTGAATCCCAAACATGGCGATGGTTGGATTTGAACGACGGAGGCTGCCTTGTCTTGTTTCTTTCAAGGCTTTGGAAAGAAAGGCAAACCCAAAGGAAAACCAACTCAATAACTGCAACAGACAACATCACAACACTTCCATGTATGATTGCCTCCAAACGTTGCGGGGGAGGAAGACAAAACAGGTGGAGATGGGCGAACGTGTCATGGCTTTTCACCAATTGAAATTGGTGTCTTACAAAGGCAGGCCCCTTTCATCACCAACCTTCACGGATGCTGCTCACTTTGGGCCCTAGCTGTTCTCATGCAAGCGGGTGCTAGCAAGTTGTTGAAACATATTGGAAAGCTGATGATTTGTGTAGCTGTTAGATGCTTTCTGCACGTGTAAAAAGATAAAAACAGCAAACAAACACACAAACACACACACAAACACTTTTGCCCGAATCAATTTTGAGAAGACTGCTTTGTTGAAATCAAGTACTTTCCTCTTCGTTGGAACTGCTTTGTACCAGAAAGGCTGAAGCTTCCACCACTTTAGAGGGCCTATACAATAGCACCCTCCAACATCTCATTCTCCCTGCGACTCGCAAGTCTGCAAAGTCCACCATTTCGGAGACCCGTTGAGTCGGGTCCTGGTACTATAATTGCTTTTCTTGGACCACCGGGACCAAGAAAAGCGCTGGACACGAAAGACTTCCAGCGCTCCATGAGTGTTTCTTGATCTGTCCTGCCACAGTCTAACCTGTCACCGTGTCCTGCCCAACCGCTTCACACCCAACAGTCCGAGAAAAGAAAACACATATGGCTGTGGGTGAACAGAGCGGATTTGGTTGACCTACCTGGTGTTTGGTCGCTACACGATGGACCAGGGCTCCAGGCTGGGTGCTCAAATCCATGGGTCACCCGGCAGCACGAGCACTACGGTGTTTCATTCCCGGATGTGCCAGAAACAAACTGAGCTTCGGAGAAAGTTGGGAGAACTGAAGGTAAGACCAAGTGGTTCACTCATGTTCACTCCCTTCAGTTTTCTATCAGTTTCCCTTCCCTTCCAACGTTCCGACGTTCTATGCTCGCCTTCTCAATAGACCCAAACACCACCTCCCCCTACGTCACGTCGGTGACGACGGCTTCGCCTCCATCTTGGGATTGGAGGCGCCAGGGGGGTTGGGCGGATCCAAACATCCTGGTTGCCCAAAGGCGGCCAGGACATACCTGAAGCAGCACGTGCTTTGCGCCGGCGTGAAGCAGGTGTTGGGGCAAAAGGGGAGTACTGTGAAGATAAGGGAGATGGCAGTGCTGACAAAGACTTGCATCTAAAGTTCCCAGTTTCGTGCTGAACCCACTTTGATGCATTTTGGATGGGTTGAACGATTGAAGCATCCAAGCAAGGCCGTCCCATATGCCATCCATCCAAACTGGCTGAACTATATATCCTTTGCCGCCCCAAAGCTTGCAAATCTTTCACTTTGGGAGGCATCTGTGTCAGCCAACCACCCGTCGCCCCGAGAAACCGAGCGCGCCGAGTGACGTCATCTGGCACAAGTCCATGTGGATGGCCTCACTGGTGAAGATCGCCATCTTCCTGAGAGAAGGGGCAATGTTGCCACGTTTTTGCAGGTTCTTGCGACATATCCATTTAAGCAAGAGAGGGATGTGAGAAATGTTTTTGCTGGAAGACATGAGAAGCTTCGAAGAACAATTGAAGAAAGTAAGGTGTTCAGGACATGTTTCAGGAATGAGGTGTTTGAGTGTGTGGGCAAAAGAAATCAAAAAATAGGAGAGGAGAGAGAAGTGCTGAGAGGAAGAGGGGCTGTGTGGGCTAACAAGCCAGAAAACGGAATACTCACTCCTCAAATCCCAGGATCCCTACGGATCAATGTTCAGGGCTCCGGCGCAGCCGGTCCAGCTGCGTGCAGAGACGGATGCAGATGCAACGAGACGACTCGAGAGGAGAGCTGGTTTGCCCGTTGGAGGCCGGATCAAGGCGCTTCTTCGGTTTGGTGAAGTGGCCGAAATTCCGAGAGGTCTTGGATACCTTCTGTCGACCTCTTTTCCGGTCGACTGCAGGGATGGCTTGGATTTCAGGGATCCTGCCCAACGTGTGAATCCTACGCGAATACATCTTGCGGGCCAGGCCAAAAACGTGGGAGAGACCAAAATAGCTTCAAAAAACACCTGGACAACAGCTTAATCCAGCTACAAGATGCTACACGACTCCAAGTCTGTACATTTCCTCTGCCGCCTGGCCCTCAAAAGAGATCTGGCCTTCACAAGGGGGCTGAGTCGTAGACCTTCGTTGCAAAAACCTATGACACCAAAGCTGTGCCTCTCAACCTGTCGGATTCTTGCCCTCGAACTAATTCGGAGGTTCTGTGCTTCTTCTGCAGCTGAAAGACATGACTTTCCTCCTCAACAAGGGGATGTGGCCCACATCCTCAGGATGGAAAGCTGCCAGCCCCGAACCGAACCTCCGTGGAAGCTGCCAGCCCCGAACCGAACCGGACGACGAGACCTCTCGTCGACGGAGAACAACCGGCTGGTGCTCCGTCTCGGTGGCGCCAGAGACGTCGACGGATCCGATTCATTCTTTCGAAGTGGAGGAACTGCCATAGCCCTGAGCAGGCAGCTGAGTCCACTCGATCTATGTTGTTCATACATGTTCATACTACACAGTCTTGTGACTGTCTTGGATGAGTGATGATAGTGGGTGTTGATCGGAGAAACATGGGGGGCCATCGTGTTGTCGGGACATCAATTCACCACTGCCATCGACTGCCGCCACCGTCGACAGACGGAGAGGTCTCCATCGTTCGAAGGATCGAGAAGGTACGGTGGTGTCATGTGACTCAGACGTCTGCTCACTCAGACGTCTACTCAATGCTTTGGACTGATGTGAAACCCAACTGAACAGAAGATTGAAAAGCGAAACATACCTGAGGCTACCTTTGATTGCCAAGACTGCCCCAAAAAGCTGCATCATCTACACAAACCTCAACCCTCATTCAACCTCTCAGATCCAAAAAGCACAAAAAGACTTGGCAAACTGCTATCTACGTACAGTATCTAAAGATATCTAAACCACTGCTGTGGATGTGGAAAGATGCATGGATGTGAGACAAGAGTTTGTTGGAACTTGACTTGCTTCCACAGCCAGGATGTTTCCACGGCCAGGGGCATCATAGATGCCGGCATCACCCACAGCTTGCTCGTAGCTCCTCGGCCGCCCAACTCTCGGAGGCGGCACGTCGCAAACGTGAATCAAAACGCACTTTCCAAACGCAGCTCGTCCAAACCACTGCGCAGCTCGTCCCAAACACTGCGAAGTGGCGACGACGTCCTTCAATTGCTTCGCTCGACTAGGTGACCTCTTAGGGCCTTCAGGTTCCAGTGGAATCACCCCCGGTTTTGAGGAAAAGCTGCATTCAACATTTGTGAGCGTCTTTTTCCCACCTCGTTCTCGTGCCGTTCGGATCTACACTCAAGTCCCGTGGCCACCGAGACTGGTCCCGATGGTCTCGGCGACCGTCGGTATGCGCGGACCGGGAGAGTTCACGGACCGTGTGCGCTCGGTATATGATTATCAGCCGTTCGGATCTTCCGGCCAGTAAATGTTTGGTCATGTAGACTCTTCGATTGAATAAACCCCCCTCGATTGAATGAACGAAATCCTCTTCAAATGGAGGGTTTATTCATCAAGAGTCTACAGTAAGTGTTTGGTCCAGTGAGGGCTTTTCACATCTTCAAAACAGAACCACCAAGAGCTGAGAGCTTAAGAGCTTCAGTGTCTTCGTGTGGCTTGGCGCAGAAAACACCAGGCGGTTGCCACGTCAATCCAAGGGGCACAGGTACCGCGTTGGCGTCCAGGTCCTGAGGACCGAGGTGTGATGAAGCAAACGCAGCACCTTCCAAGGAATCACCTCACCGTTTGATCATGCTAAAAACTCCATTGGAACTGTTGAAAGGTGGAGCTTGGATATGAAAGAGATCACTTCAGAAGGGAAGCTCAACGAATCCGCCAACCTCCGTCGTCTCCTGTCGCTAACCTCCGACCCAATTTCGGCCAAGGAGCCAGGGGAGACCAAATCTCAGCATGCGGCAGGAGCTTCTCTCCCTCCGCGATCAAACAGTGCGGAATCCTCCAAAGAAGCTCAGGGGAGCTGAGATGGAAAAAAGAACTGAGATAGGGGAGCTGATTTAGTCCTCGCCCCCATCAGAACGCAAGCACCTAGTCCAAAGGTCACACAAACTCCGCATCTTGACTTGTCACCCACATCTTCCTTCTCTAGAAACAAACCACATCAAGGGTCCCCCGTTCCCCACGTCCCTGGACCTTTCTCGCCCCTTTCTCGCCCATCTTCACCGCAGCCCGCCCATCTCCTGTCGGCCCAGGTCCGGATCTGAAAGTCCGCCACATAGGCCGTGGCCACGCCCTGCCACGTGGCCAAATCCCCGAAGTTCACCCAGCCGCGGTTCAACTGCACCCTGGGCGAGAGACATTAAGACAGACGCGACTGGTCAAACGACGCGTCGCGCCAGTGACCAGTCTGGTCGGTTTGGGTCGGTGCAGAGGTGTGGACGGGCGGAGTGGTCAGAGGCGAGCGGGACTCCCCTTGTGTTCGGCAGAATCGAGCTGGGCGTGTCTTGAAAACATAGAATTCGCACATACCAAGTGGGAGTGGAGAAAAGTAAAGGCGCTTCAGGAAGAACAGCCGGACTCTCAAAACCGGTGGGTTTCGGGTCCTGCGACATGGGCTGCAAGACAATTTTGTTGGAGAAACTCGTGCATACATACCTTTGAAAACTCCTAGTGAAATTCCAAACTCATGATGTTTTTGCAAACCCGTTCAGCAAAAATCTGGGGCCAAATGGGGCCGACTGGGAGATACGACTTGGCAGCAGCCACAGAGCTGGAGGGTTGGCGAAAGAAACACGTGTTTTTTCCTCAACCTCCTTTTCCATGTTTACAAAAAAACGACTGACGGACTGAGACTGGACAGTTCGCCTAGATCGTTTTTCTCGGCTTAGATCCTTTGCTTAGGCTTAGACGGAACGTGATTGGGGAACTCATCCAAGGTGTGTATCGTCTTTTGGCTCACTGAGCTGGTCTTCATGTCAAGAAAAACATGCCATCCGGGGGCAACACGAACACCCAACAAGTTTGGATGATAGTTTATCTCAAATCAGGGATATATCCTGCATACTATCCTGCATATACCTAAGTCAACCATCCAAAATCCGAGAACAACTAAAGCCCATGTTCACTCTATGAGAACACTGTCCACATGGTGAAGTCATGAGTCATGACATGTCATGACAATTTGTGTTCTTTTTGGAGCTCCGAAATCTACCGAACCCCCCGTAGTTGAGACATCACACACATCCATAGAACAGCTACTCTCCGGGGTTCCACCACCGACATCTTCAAGGCGCTTCAATGTACATGCTGTTCCTTCGTCGTCGTCTGACATCTGATAATGATGTTTTATGCTGTTGTTTGCATAAACAAAAGTGATCCACTTACTGATCTCCACCACCTGCCCACATTCTGTCGAAGGAACGAGAGCTCCGGGTTGCTTTCATTCCAGGGGTTCAGCATCTTCGAATCCCAGGCGAAGGGTTCCAGCAGCAAATCCCCCAAGCCATGCCCAATCTTGCTCCTTGGAAGGCCAGGGGAAGACTGGGAAAATCACCAGATACCTAAAGGGTACATAGGGTTGAATTCCCAACCATCTCCTTTCATCTCCTTTCTCCCAACTTCAGGAGAAACAACAAACAAACCTCTGAGAGTCCAGTGAGAGTCATGACGAGTCAAAGTGTCTGGTTCTTGCTATACGCCGGCACCGTGCCCGTGTAGAGAGGTGTTTGCTCCAAGGGGAAGGTCCGCAGCGAGTCCTGAGCAGGTCAGGACTCGTCAGAGAAGACCATCCAGACCAATGGTCGGGGTGGTGATGCGTTCGATCTGGCGCCATGGTACGCTTACATGTTGGATATGGATGGATATAGATAGGATATCATATGAAATGGGTAATTATTGGGTCCTGCATGAGAATTGGAATAGGTGAAGAGTATTTACTGATCCAATTGGTTTACTCATGTTTGTCTATGTTTGGCTCTTCCAACGTACGGTCTTTGGATCTCTTTGGATCATCTTCATCGTACGCCCCATTCCCATTCCAACCAGGTGACCCGTGTCTGGAAGTTCTGAATGAAATTCGCATCTGAAAGGTTAACCGTGATGCGCAAACCCTGCGCGACCAACCATGGTTGGTCGCGGCTCCAGAACCGTTGCACAGTCACTGTGCTGGAGTGTACTGTCAGACAAATGCCAAGCGGATGTGAACATGTAGTGCCAAAAAAGTTAGAGTTGAGGCGGGAGTATACCTTGGACAGGTTGCAGAAAGTCTTCCGAACTGGACAGGCCTAGTGTGTTTGGAGAGGTAGAGCAAACCCGGTCAAAGGGTAAGCAAGACATCAGGATGAAACGTGTACCAGCTTCCCTGAATTCCTGTCGATTTTCCTGACCACTGTCATTGGTTGACCGTCATGGTTCCGTTCCCGTCATGGGTCAACTGTTACCCAGTGTATCCCAGTTACCACATGTTACCACTATATAAGGAAACAGAGATCGTAGGTCTATAGCGTATGGTTTTAGTCTTTAAAAACCGCTGTAGTGACTGTAGTGGTGACTGGCTGTGACCTCCCCATCGTCTTCCCATGACGCACAGTCTGTCCTTGGTCTCGAGCCCTGTGTATGGCGCTAGAATCGCGGACTGCGAGAGGAGGAAGGGCAACTTCCGCGAGACGTCCTCAGAGTCTTGACAAGAGCCCCGCGGGAGAAATCAAAGTTTGTTTTGGGGGGGTGCCCCTGCGGATTTAGGGGGAGATCCAGGCAGATCTTCCTGGTTTGGTCATTCTTGAGGCAATGTCTGGAAAAAGTCAAAAAAGTGTTCAAGACTGTTGACATCCCTGTAGTACAGGAGATTTCTTTCAGTTTGCTTTTCTTGGACATCATCAAACACCATGGAATGGGGACCGTGCTGTTTTGTGGCTGGACTGGCATCATGGGCTGGATAACAATTCAATTTGGGAGCTACAATAGTTGCCACAAGTCGCACAAGAAAGAGTCACCAACACGAAAAAGTGGAAGTCTGGCAGCCCAATATCAGTCACCAAGTGTACTTTCGCGGTAATTCTCACCCCCACCATGCCACCATCAAGCATCTTTGGCGGTGTAGATGGTCTTGGAGGGGAACTGCTTCTTCATCCGCTCCAGCTGGGACTCATGGCAATGCACCGAGTCATAGCCTCGGTCGTTGGCCGACCCGACCACCGGCCGGTGGCACGGTGTGGGTGTGGGTGTCCGTCCTGCCGATGTCCGTCGTCCCGAAACAAGGACTGCTCTTGAAGGGTTCGAAATCCTGCCGAAATCCAAGAGCACACAGAAAGAACATGAAAGAAGGATACCAACTTGTTTGACCTTTGAAAAAGGCTTTCCCACAACGAGCGCCTCCCACGCACCTCTCCCAGCGCCTCCCCGAGCCAAGCCGCCGGCCAGTTCGAAGGGGTGCAGGAAAATGGAGGCGCTGAAGAGAGGCCAAAGCCTTGGTTTTGTTGCGGTGCCATGGTTTTTCAGGTCGCAACACCGCGTACAGTGGCGAGAGGTCCAATTGGTGCCAATCTCTTCTGTGCACATGAAGACTCTTTTATTATTATAAGACTAGTCTGATGAACACTACAAAGGAACTAAACACACACACGCAAAATGGCGGGTCGATCGGCTCTTGCAGCTAAGATCTTCACAGTCCAAATCTAAGGTCTTTGGCCCCCCACGTACTCTTTGGAAAACGCCAATCTTGCCCGCTCAGTTTCAGAGAACAAAGGTGATCAGATGTGATCACCATTTATAAGCCTGTTCATTTTGAAGCAAGAAAAACAGGGTTCAAGGTGAATCACCGCACTTGTTAGTGCCTGGACTGCGACCATCCATCCATTCAGGTCGCTGGTAGGCAGATCCTGGGAAGCGGCTCACCATGCATGCACACCAGCCTGATGCAATTCGAAACGTGTGGACTCGCAGGGGGTCCGGTCCCCCTGGTTGCAGAGCTCCATTCAAGTGATCAACATGATTGACTGGGGTGATAAGGTTCGACATAGGGTGGACTGCAAGGGCCCTCTGCTTGGTTTGCGGACAGATCGTGCACGATTTACACTTGTCTGTGTGACACCCCTGGCACATGCTTGAAAATGCAGCCGGTTCCTTCATCTGTCGGGCAGTCCAACATGCTGGCCGCTGTGAGGTTGTCACTGGCATTCAAGCGCCGCAGCCGGGGTCGCTTAGGTTCATGTCCTCGGCTGAGGAAGCTCCAAAGGCTTCGCAAAAGCTATACTTGTCATGCAAACATGCGTTGATGCTTGGAAAAGCAAACAGGATAGGATACCAGGCTATTATCCAATTGGGATCCAATGGATCGATAACACCATTAAGAGTTTGTCCTCTCATGACATCGTTGCTCACATCCATGCTGAGCATTGGGTGAGTTGGGTGGGTTGTAAGACATCTGTCATCCCTGTCATCCCTGTCACGGTTTTTGTTCTGCAAAAAGGAAACGAACAAAACAACACCGATCAAGCATACACTTGGATGGGATAGCAGCCGGTATGTTGATGTGATGTATTTTGCTCTGCCTTCTTCGCCAGCGCAAGAGCAAAACACCCTCAGTGTCCTCACGATGCGAAGTTGGTCACCCAAACAAACTCCCAATGCTGTGGAAGCTTTGATTCTGAACAAGTGAGGAGCGGAGTCCTTGTGCTTTCGGTGGTTCCACGAACGTCAAGTGGTGACAACTCCAGGTTGTCATGCTGTCGAAGCCTCTAAACATGTCTGGCTTTGTTTTACCACCAAGCCATCAACTTGGGTGTGCGCGTCTCCACATGTGTCTCTACATGTCCAACCTTTCAACCCGTGAATTTCTTCTCAGCGTCAGCGTTCGGGCCTCACCGACCAGCGGGGGAAGTCGGTGAAGCAGTTGGACGGAGGGACACCGGGACCCCAGGCAGAGCCAGCCCCACTTAACATCACTTAAGATGTCCAAGAACCAAACATCCCCTTCGGAACGTGGAACATCGGGGGCATAGTCCAACTACGGCCCATCACTGGCAGATTTCATGGACCCGATGAAGAACGCCGATTTCACTGATCGAAAAGCTGGCTTCGCCTGTCCAACGGCCCTTTCTGCGCCCAAGCGGCCCTTCGGGTATTCCCTGAGCTCGGAGAGCCGCGAGATGCCAGTGCCTCTCTGAGAGCGTCGGTGCTCCGGTGTCCCTGTCCGCAGATCCGGTCGGCACCTTCCGTTTGGACTGACAAGTCCGGTAAATCCGAGTTCACAAGTCTGAGTCTCTTTTGGTTTTTTACGAGTCACCCCGGGATATATCATAAAACATGGCGCAGTCTGGAAGGCAATGATAAATTTGAACCAGAATGATTCTATTTTTGGTGTGAGTATATGGTTCAAGAATATCTACATGATCATTCATGGTATTGTAGTTCGGTATCGTCATCGTCGGCGTTTTGCTGCCCATTGTGCCTGTCTCTTGCAGCAGGGTCTTCGGGAGCATCTGGTCGAAAGGCAAGGTACGGCCCAAATACGTCTCCAGGCTGTCCAAAGTCTGGTAGTAAAATGGAATACCTGCCGGCCCGAGAGTGTGGCATTCCTTTTCATAACCTCTTCTTGGCATTGTGGCACTGTGCAGTCTGGTTGGTGCGCATGTTCTTGAAAGGACAATAGATATAATGATTACATGTGTTTAGAGACTATGCTCGGAAAGAACCACCGGAATGTCAGTGGCATTCTACACCTTTAGCCGTGTACCGTACGTAGAAATCCAACGCCAAGGAACCCAGCCACACAGAGCCGCTGGTGACGCTCAAATACTTGGCCTTCTCTAAAAGACCTGAGAGAAGCAAACATCCTTCACGGTGACTCTGACGCTACCATTGGAGGTGAACCTGACGCTACACCATCTGTGTCAAGACCTTGTTGAAGAATGCCTTCACCTTGCAGAAATATGAAGGCACCTTTTCTGCGAGATCCTGCAATTACTAATTATCCTATGAGACTGAGCAATGCAAGGCTGGTTTGTTGGGTCTTCTGTTTCTGTTTCGCATGACATTGAGGCCAGAGTGGTCAGAGTGGGTATGTCCCGATCTTGCTCGCTCTTCCCTGGACCCAAGTCGTACAACAAGTCGTACAACCAAACACTGCGACGGATGACCTGCTTCTCTCATCTCACGAAGGATGCCGTGACCCAAGGCCAAGCCTGAAGACACGGAGAAGACACACGCCGAATCGGCTAATACCATGCCCAGTTCGGCGGTTCGAACTGATCCAGTTCGGGTTCGAGTCGGAGGTCGGTCTTCGGGGCATGTTCCACTTCGAGTTCGAGCTCGAATCGGCTGCAGGAGCAGGGGGGCAAAAGAAGTGAAGCCCTATGGCACGCCTAGAGAGAGCATCTTCTACACCACACCATCCGCCACCCCACCCATCACTCCCCTAAGCCAAGCCCAAAGCAACCCTAAAGATCCCAAAGAAACTGAAGCGCTAAGCCGCTAAGCAAAGCAAAAAAGACTAAAGAAGTGAAACCCGCAAACCCAGCGAACCCCCAGCAAGACAAGCCTAAAGGCCCAAAGAAACCCTAAAGTAGTGAAGCCCTTCGCCAAAGCCAAAGAAACCCCAAAGCCCTAAGTCAAGACTAGAGACTAAAGGAACCCAAAAAGGGGAGACCCAAACACCCCGAACATCACTCACCTACGAAGCCTTCTATGCTTCCAAGGTTGAGTTCCAACTGTTCCATGGCAGTTAGAGTTCACGAGCTCGAGTGGCACACAGTGCTTTCGGGAGTGTCTGTGACAAAAACACCTGCGAACCTTGGTTGGGCTGCAACACAATCCAAAACACGATTAATTATAGCTGTGGAAAGCTCTTACCAGGTCCATGGTCCCATACTTTGCCAAAAGCAAATAATCCCCCGCGGAGCAAGTGCTTGAGAAGCCAACCTGCAGCCTCGACACCACCCTCAACACCTAAATAAGAAACTTCTTAAAAGGCACCCCGGACCCTCCAACGTGGGACATGGCTCACAATCTCATTGACCCTACAATACATGACAATGGCCCATTTGGTTGTGGGTCAAAGCCAGGATAAAATGGTGGACGACCAGTTGGGCGAACATGGTGGGTCACGACCCATTCCCGGCAAACTACCAGGACCAGCCAGGAGTGACCATCCTGATTGGGTGTCCTGGCTGGACTACACGACTGGCTGGGGTCTGCATTGGACACCCAGATGGTCCAGGTACCTCTTTTACCGTGGGTCGTTTGGGACCAGTCGAGAACACCCCCGCGCCGGGAGAACCGGCCTCGAGCCCCGCCACCTGCAAGGGCAATACCTCGAGGTGAGGGCTGTGTCGGCTGCCTGGGGTTGTGGAAGTCTCCAAACGGATCCCACAAAGACCTGCGAAAAAACAGATGTACAGCGACAGTGATGAACGTCTAACTGTCTGGCCATCTTTGACTCTTTAACATGGAAGTGGAACATGCCCTTTAAAGGACTAAGGACTACTTTCTAAGGAACAGGGGGGTCCACTTCCATGATAGTCACTCAGAGTGTATCACTGATAGTCACTCCAGTTCACCCATTGCGACCTGATCCACCTGTTTGATCCGGAATCCGTTCGCTCGAATTGCCCAGATGCCAAACTCCTTTCCAGCCAAGTGCTGGGCCAGTGATGCAGACCATTCCTGCCCCGGGCGATCGTGGGCGGACCCGACGATGGGTCTAAAGGGTGTGAATCCATCGATCGACTGGTTCATTGATGTATACTACGTATATATGGACACCAAATCATACAGAGAAAAACAATGCTATAATGATGTCCCCTGTATGTATATATAAATATATATGGATGTGCAATACTTGCTAACGAAAAAAACATATTGGGCTGTCTGGAGGGATGATCATTCCAAGTCTTTCACTGATGTTTTGGAGTTTCAGCACTCAATGCAAATCAGTTGAAGCTCGGGTGTGGGGATTGTTTGTTGGTCCGTCTTTTCCCATTCGTCCCTTTGATATTGCTTGATTGTCTGTTTGTTGTTTCAAGCCCTGGTCCAAACAGAATCCTGCTTTGGTTGAAGCCTGAAATGAAACCAACCATCCAGGGTAAGGGAGGAGTCGTCGACTCGGACTCCGAATACCAAGACCTCTCTTGCGGGGCTCCTACATGTTAATTGGGCTTCAGTTGCCTTCTCGGAATCTTCTGCATCAGGTGGTTGGAGCCGTGGCTGTGGTGTGTTTCCGCTTTCCCAGAAAGTCTAACTGAAGCAGAAACGTCTTCCACACATCCGGGTCCATTCCACTGTCAAACGAACATGTGTCAGACCTCAGGTCGGTCGCTCGTCCATGTGCCTCGGCATTCTCCGGAAAAACAAAGTTGCTCTCGGAGGGCCGCCAAGCACGGCTCGCTGTCCCCGAGGAGGTCGGCACCGAAGAGGTCAGCGCAAGCGCCCAGGAGAGGAGGAGCGTCATGGGCGACGCGAAGCAAAGCGGAGGGCAATCAAACTTTTGAACTGGATGCCGGTCCTCTTTTTAAGATAAGATGTGTGTCCATTTTTTCTTTTGAATTGTTCAATGTTTGCCCGAGGCCTTGCTTGAATGCAGTTCAAGGATCATTTTATCAAGAATCTCTGGAAAGAAAATCACCAAAACGCTTGACTACGTCCAGGTCTTTGGTGAGCTTGAAAGTGACGCTTAGTTGACGTATGTTGACGTATGTTTCGCTGGATTTGAAGGTTTCTGGACTGGATTTCGCCAAGCAATTTTCAAGTCTTTGGATTGCACATGATGAAAATCATGTGTCATGAACGAGCAGCTGGGCGATGCGGAATCGTCACCGTCTGGACTCGGTGGGAGAAAACCACGCTGGGCGGAATAGCCCAGCGAGCGGACTCTGGGGATCTTGTCTTCACTTTCAAACTTTCTGGAGCACATGTTACGAAGAGAAAGCAACAAAAGCTAGAGCTACAGCAAACACCAGGACTCCTGTCTATGTATGACTACTGCGACTAAGATGACGGCCACTCCTACTGCTACTGCTGCTACTGCTACTGCTGCTCCTCCTACTACTACTACTGCTGCTACTACTACTACTACCACCAACTACAGTAGTGGGCCTGGATAGCCTACAGGGGACTTCCTGATAGAGTGTGCATCAAATCATTTCGCACCAGGTCTTTCATCACATGCCGTGACCCTAAAAGATGTGGCGAGCCAAGAAGTTCCGGTGTCTTTGGAGTGGGAGCGTCTGGGCGGAAGTTTTTGCTCTTTTTGGATCATTTTGGACTGAACCAAGTTGCTAATGGTGAATATGTGTAGATGTGCCTCTACATGAACCTCTTTGTCTATCCAACCGTGCAAGCAAAATAGAAGCTCCACCAACTCCAGCCCGTATCCTCCCTCCGCATCCGGCTGAATGAAGGTGAACCCACCAACCACCACCAACCAGCATCACTACACTATCCGCTGGACTTCAGAGTGCACCCAGTAAGTGCAGTTGCCTATCGCCTATATCATATGTCATCATGTTATCATATATATATATATCCCTTAGATGATCATATATCATGTTGTTTATTCTGTGAGAATCATCATCGTATCAGGAACCGAGTCCGAAATCATCGTGGAATGCCGTCCCGGTCTTTGAACGGCGTCTGTTCGCTGTTCGCTGTTCGCCTCCCCCGGGGAGGCTGGTGAGGAAGCCTGGACGCCGACGAGGGGGACGAACGAGGTGTCTGGCGTCTTGTGGGTGTCTCCATTGGGTTATTTCAGAGTAGTTCTGTAGATGAACAGTGGTGGCGGAAGACGTCAGCCGGAAATCTATGGCAAGACTGGTTCTCCAAAAAACAAACACATCGGGATACGTCGGGCCTTGCTTTCGGCCCAAACCACCAAGTGCTCAGTGCCATGACCCGCCAAATGTGGAGTCCAGGAGACAGCTGGCATTTCACACCACGCGTGGATCAGAAGAAAGCGAGCAGAAAATACAGCGATTGGGCGTCGGTGTGAAACATCCCCGTGGTCTTGGCTCAAGGTGCTTAATTTTTCTACATCAAATTGTTCATCTACACCCGGGAAGATTAACATAGAACCTGAAAACCACTGGGTTGTAGAGGAAAGTAGTCTTCCAAAGGTCCATTTTCAGGTTCCATTTGGTTCCATGTTAAATCTTCCCCGGGTGTAGCTTTGACATGCTTTGACCATGTTGATGCTTCAAAAGCCACCCCCCAAGCCACAAGAACCATTCGACCGCCACCGTCCGGTGACCACGCCGCTTTCGCTCCACCCGTGGGGGCACCGCTTTCAGGACTTGTGGCTCCGCTTCACCCTCCTCCGGAGGCCAGGCTGGGGAGCAGGGCTACGACGGATCTTGAAGGGAAATTCATGTGATTTGGGGACCAAAGAAAAACAAACATGATTTGGGGATGCAAAAACGCTTGGAGACGGGTTGGACGACAAGTCATCTCCAGAACATCATCCACAGAATATCATTCTGCCTAACCGTGCCTACGCTATCTTGGAAGAAAACCATGACATGGTCGCCAAATTCTTCTGATTGTGGTGATGTGACTGATGTCGTGACTATCATTTTGAGGTCTCGACCTCAAGACTATCCGTTCTGCGGAAATCGGATGAAATCGGGTGTTCATCGAGATGACCAAACTCCATGTGAAACGGAGTTCATCATTCCGCCAAGAGGTGGCCAACTCAAGCTAACGAGTTTTCGGATCTCTATAACAGCAGGTTTCGGATCGCCAACTCGTAAGCTTCCCAAAACACCAGCCAATTGGGACCCGACTCTTCTCCACATCTCATCCCGTGCACCAAGGAAGTCACCGGGGCTCAGGCGGATCCAGGACTCTCCTAACGCATGTTTTGTGTTAGCATGTTTTAGCTTCCAACTCCCATGACTCCATAGCTCCACTCCATCCATTCATCAAACCAAAACAGGAAGGGTTTTTCCTCACCTCCGCCACCTCACCGGTGTTACCCACGACCAGCGCGACGCCCCGCACCGACCCGCAGTCCAGAGAGCCCACGTGGCGCTGTGCCATCGCCATTTGCCTCGGTCCGAGCTTTCCCAGATCCCACGGATGGCACCAGCAGAAATTGGAAAAAAAACTAGTAGTAACAAGAAGCTAGTAGTAACAAGTGCCACGCTAGTAGTAACAAGTGCCTTACTAGTAGTAACAAGAAGCTAGTCAAATACTGATTGCTGCAGTTGGGAGAAGCATCTTCTGGTTCTTAAACCTTCCAGCTGCTCAAACACCACCTTTTCGTACGAACAAACACCTTTTCGGCACCTCTGCGGACCTGATCCTGTGGCTCGAAGTCACACTGAATTGTCGCGTCATCGCTGTCGACATCACCTCCATTAAGGTTTTGCACCATCGTCGCACCGCCGCACGACGGTGACATGGGAGCAACACCTCAGCCACCCTGCTGGAAGTCTGGCAAGCTGGTTGAGGAGCTACCTGGGCTGACAGTCGATCTGGGGTCCGGAAATTCCTATCGAGTTGGATCGTGTTCCCGAAAGGCAAAGAACAAGAAAGGCCCAACATACCTGGCAGGTTCTCCGGTTCCAAACGGCAACGACAACCAAAAGACCATGAAATCTGTTCCATGTCCATTTCTGCGGTCGGAGCAGTCCCGGTGTCCGGACATGCGAAACAAAAAAAGGAACACATCGGCCCGCGAAATGGACGTGAGTTCGTCCAGTTGGTCCAAAAAAAGGCAGTGTGGTCCTGATTTTGGAGGACCTCTTTATCCCTGGTGCATAGGTGGATAGACTTAGAAAGAAGGAGCGTCACTTCTTTGGTCCCAAAGTGAATGAAATATTGAACAACTTTTGAGGTTAGAATAGTTTAGATGAGGAATGGTAGCGTCTGACCCTTGAAACGAGCACTAGAGCACTAGGGTCGAAGTGGCACATGTGGGGCACCTGAGAGGTGTTTTCACCCAACGTTCACAGACGTTGGACTCCACCTCCACCCACCAAGAGTTGCTTTGGTAGCTCCAGCAGTGCATGAGTTAAAGCTGGCGTATCCTGGGAAGTCTTCTGAAAGCTTTGCAGTGAGAGCAACTGAGGAACGGACTGCTACTGTCCTGCAAGGGCCGTGATGTTAGCAACTCGGCAAATCTGAGACAACAAGACAAGTTGACCACCTTGATTTCAGGGTCAACTCCTCAGGCAAACCAAAAGAGGTGCAGGTTCCAACATCCAAGAGCTTGAAGATCAAAATATTGGCCAGTTGGGGTGTCATCTTTTCAGATTGGTCAATGTATGCCAGTATTCTATGGAGTGTTTCTGATTAGGTGGGTCAACCTCACAGGAAGCCCAGTGCATGCCGCTTTGAAACGGAAAAAGTCCACCCTTCTCCAAAGGATATTCACATCCTTCCAGGTCGCTTCCGCGATCCGCGTATTGGAAGAAACGGAGCTGACGTCCAAAGGTCCTCACTCTCGCTGGTGCTGTTGCTATCTTCGATCTCCTGCGGTGATCGAATCGTCCGCCGAGGTCGCACGTCTCCCATCTCCCACAGAAACTATTTTGGGCCGTCAGTTTTAGAGAAAAGAACAGATTTGTCTAGACCCGTCTAGATGGGCTTTGGGGGATTTGTGCGTTTTCATCCAAATCTCCCTAAACTTAACGGTTTTGCGCCAACACTCTCACCGAGGATCTGCGTTGCTTTCCGCACATTGCTGTGTGAAAGGATCCTGCCTTCTTTAAAGTGAGCATTACATAATGAGTTGTTGGAAGAGCTGAGAACAAGATGAACACCTTTGCTTGAACAAGTGTGTCGTATCAACCCACGCTGCAAACGAACTGGCGCAAAGCCATAGTCATGCCAGGGAACTAATCTCTTCATGCCTGCAGTGAGATTGCACGATTCACTAGATAGCCTACATCCAATATATTGTAAGGAGCAACAATCAAACAAGTTGCTGACTTGATATACTCACATCGTCAACAAGCTGATTCTGGCACGGGGGGGTGGAAGTTCACTCCAACCTCAAACAACAACTCACATAACTCAACGGGTTCAAATTTAGAAAAGGAAAGGACCTCCGGCCACAAGGGTGGTATACACTGTGAACCCACCGTCTCCTGTGGCGGTGCCCCACCCATCGGCGCCCTGGCAAACCAGGAAGACAAAGATTGATTCATCTGAATTGAATTGTCTTTTAGGCTCAATATGGCTCAATGTTTATACTGTCGTAGATACCTGCAGCAAGGCACATAGATACCAAAAAATCCACATTATATATGCAAATATCGCTCAAACATGTCCGTCTTGGAAATCAGCTGCCAACTTCTGTGAAACCTGCACAATCAAACAACCTCTTCAACAGTTTCCGGCCGAGCACACGGACACCCTTTGGCCACGGACACCTTTGCGGACACCCTTTGGTGAGCAGCTTGAACAGCGGGTTCTCCAGGATTTGCTGTTTGACTGAAGGTGCATGAGCACACGAACCGGCTGTGGTTACAACAACTTTTGCAATGCACCAATTAATTAATGATTTATCTCGATTAGAACGCGATATTCAACATCCACACTTTAATGTAATTTGATGCCCAATCAAGGCCTAGTCCTGGACAACTGAATAACATTAATTTCGTAGGCAATACATTCCCATGCCTGGCAACAGTGAAATCTACCCACCAACGAACAGTGTGTAACCAGTGAATGCACACCGGCCAAAATGTTGAACAAATGGCGAACGTGGCAGGGCGACAACACAGCCAGTGGCAACAAACACAAACCATTGATCATGTTCACAGGAAATGATCTGGTCTGTTTCCCAACTTGTGAGCACCCTTTCGGTCAAAGGTCAACCGGTGGCGGAGTTGCATCATGACCCACGACGAGGAACAAACAATAATAACATTTACATGTCTCGGCCACAGTGGAACCATTCAATTCACTGTCATTGGTTTGCTCAACCTGCTTGCGAAGCACTTGTTCCATTCTTCCGCCCCAGCCCACACCTCTGCACGGGTAGAGGGTCTGCACGTGAATCACACGACGGAAGAGGTGGATTGGTCGACGGAGAATGGTTTGGGACAAAGGATGGATCTGAACTCAGTGGATGCGTCTGAAACAACACTACCTTGGACATGGAAAAAGCAACAACCTTTTGGCAAAAACGATGGATTTCTTCTGGGTGCTGACGTGTCAAATGAAAACCACCGGGTTGCCAGACCTATATAGAGTTTGGATGGGTTTGGACTGCCAACGGTTGGCCAACAAGTCTGAGTGAATCCTATAGTGTTGTTTGTTTCCTCCTACAGTACCCCTGCCTCACAGCCACTCGGTCATACAAAGGATTGGGGTGGCCAGGGCTGTTTGTTCTTGAGTTGCCCATTGAGAAAGCTCAGCGCGCGCCCTTTAGAAGAGCTTAAGTTGTATATCGGGTCGTAGCCATTGAAAAATGAGGAAAAATGCAAGAATGACGCAAAACAACTGCAAGAGTCAGTTGCTGGGAACTCTTACGCGGTGGGCAAGCACAGCTCTGTCTGAGTATAGCAGTAGCAGTCTGAGTGCTGGATGGTGTAATGTCCCTGTCTTGCGTTCCAGCGCTCTTTGCTTTTGAGAAGTGGATTCTTGGACGTTGCAACGGATGATGAGGATGTCGAGCACGGCCAAAGTAGGCAAGCTAAGGGAATCATGCCGAAATTAAGACGTATGGTCTGTTGAACCAATGTTTTTTGTTGTAAAACGTATCAAAAAGTGACCACTAGATCGATTGCACACCTTTCGCCTCGATCATCTTAAAGTGACCTAAACCCCCCCCAAAAAAACAGCAACTCTCCAGCTTAATGAAGCATGAAAGTAACGACCCCTTCTGGATAATGCCTACATCAGCCGACCAGAAGGCCGCTGGAACGGCTGGACCGTGGAAGGCCCCTGGAAGATTCGGAAGAGCCTTCACTAGTGACGGCCGCTGTGTGGCTCTTAGGACCGGACAAATACGAGGGTATCTGCCTTTTCGTACCTCAAACAACCTCAAACTGCCAATTCCCAAGTCTTGGAAAGTCTAGCCCAGTGTTCACAACCCGCGCCTTCGTCACCAATCACTTGGGTCCTTGCAGAGGCACTGTTGCACCCCAAAAATACCAGACACTTGTCTGGAATCTCGAATCCACAACTACCATGATCACAAATACATACAAATACCAGGAAGAACATGGCTTTCTCCTCGTCCAAGCTGGTGATCCGTCAAAAATCCCTCAAAACGAATGAAGCCACCAAACCAGCTATAGCGACAATAGTGACGTCTTTTGTTTAATGTGTCTTTTTCTGTTTGGGGGGAGGCGTGCTAACGGGCGATCTTGGTCGATGCTCGACGACCAGAAGCCCTGCAGCGGTTGACCGTTCGGCACGGAGCGCTTGGTCGAACACAGCATGGGCCACAAATGCCACAAGCGTTTGGGTCACCGGAGAAAACAAAAGTATGATCAAACTGCCACCAAACGCGGTCATCTATCATCATTCATCATCTATTTATCCATTCGTGCGAAGCTCTTGGAGAGAAGTAGACTGCTCAGAATCTAAATCTCACCCAGTTTCACTGGAGAATAAATGCTTCACCCTTTTTCCACTTGGTTCTGGAAACTAATCCACTCCGCAGGAGTACCAAAGGCCTCGTTATGCTGTCGTTTGCACACGTTTCAGTAGAATCATGCCGAATGCTCAGCCGGGTGTCACTTCGCTAGCGGCCCCGGTCACAGATAGCGCGAAAGTCAAAAAAGAGTAGAATCATGAATGCATGTGTTCTTTGCTATCACTGTCACCTTGCCAACGACCCAAATTTGCAGATAGAACAGGTATCCTTTCAAAAGTGAATTGCACTCTAAATCCTTCCCTATCATGTCTAGACCTGTTCCCACCAGCACAGCTTAATCGGACCAACGCAAAGCCACTTTCTCCGCCAAGGCTCGGCATGTCCTGAGGGACTGGAGAGGCTCGGCTCGTCGAGGCGCCGCGTCCAAGCGCGACCGTTCGAGCACCGCGGCTCGTTCCGCGGGTGGGGGAGGGATGGAATCCATCCCTGGACGACGCCGACAAAGCATCTGGGGTCATTTAAAAACGTTTAGCAAATATCCATTTTCTCTGAAGTCTGATTGATTTTAAATGGATCCATGAGCCATCCATGAGCCAGAGCTTTCATTCGATGTTGGTCTCTATTCCCCACCGAGGTCCGAGGTTACCCCATTCTCCAGTCTTTGTGCCTTCGTCCTGGACGACTGATGGGTCCACGGGCCAAGTTCCTTTCTTTTTTTCTCGAACGACGATCACCGGAGAGTCATGACATTGACATTGACCACTAAACATGACTCTGGGCGTTGACCCAAACACTTTGGCCATTGACATGGGTTTTCTCACATTGCTTGATTGATACTTCGAACCGCGTTGACCCAGTCCGTCGAGGGTCCGTCCACGGATGAAGCGACCACTCAGTCCGTCAAGTCACGTGGCAGGCTTGCCGGCTCAAGAAAAGCAAGTTTACCATGTGGTGGTTGCATTTAGTTTACCCCTCATGTGGATATACAATCCCAGTGGCAATTTTGCCGGTGAAAAAGCGAGTTTAGAGACAAAGAACTTTGCAACGTGCACAACGGTCCATCACTGCAAGAAATGGATCAACCTAAGGCAAACACCAACTGTCTATGAAACTAGATGTTGATGAAATTGATGAAATACACACATGGGAGCTGCTTGACCATCCAGACTATATGAATCAACAGGAAACATTATTATATACAAAAGTCTGAAGAATGATTCGCCAAATCGGTCACGAGCTTGAGCCCCTGTCTTGTTCTACAGAATGAACCAAATGGACGTCCTCAAACACGGTCAACCCGTCGCATGCTTTTGGGTAATCCATCTTGACATCTACCTTGGTCGGCCTTGGCGCATCTTTCGATAGATACACCAGGTCTGCGCAGAAAGTCGAGAAAGTCACCAGAAACTGTTGGGAGGTTCCACAAATGTCCATCAACTCCATCCCTTTGGCCTTCGTCATGCCTCCCGGCCTTTCCGAACCACCCGGACCAACCGCGCTATGTGTCTTTGTTCACCCAGGCGCTGCGGCCTTCACGACTCTGACTGTGGGCACTGGCACCTGCTTCCTTAGTCCACTGGCGGGTGCAAGCGGGTTGTGGGTGGTGAACACACAACGAATGTCAACTCCCAAGGTGGAGTCATGGCGAGTCGGGATGTCAACATGCCCGGAGTCATAGGCTAGGGGCAAACAAACCTGAAACCTCTGAACAAAAACATCCACCATGCACCACCCGAAACTCTTAGAGATTTCATCACTCTTCCTTGCTTTCGGAGCAAAAGAGTGCCTGATGTCAAGGTGAGAAAGTAACCAGGCTCGTGCTTCATGGGAGTAGACTAGATGGTGAATCCATTCCATTCCGTTCCCATTTCTAGACTTTGTGTAAATCTTCCGTCCCCATGGGGGGTTGGTGCAACCCTAGCAGGTGCCAACTGATGGCGATTCACCACCCCCTCCAAGGGGCCCAAACAGGGCTACCCGGAGGAGGACACCACCTGCTTCGAAAAAGGTCTCAGAGTTCCGGTGAACTTGCAAAAGTGGCAAACGCTGTCCAACGGCCGGCTGAACACCTGAAAAAATAAGCCAAACCTTAAAAGTCTTCAACCTTAACAACTCTCAACATCCATCGCAAGAACAGAAACCATCAAATCATCGAAGACCAGGTCTAGTGTCCTACAAGTATGTTTTGTATGCACCCCAACCAGTGCCCCCACCCGACCATTCCCCGTCTTGGCTGATGTGCTTGCTCTGCCGCTTCTCCTGCATGGCACAGGAGGCACTGTGCCGGATTTTGAACGCGGTCCCCTGACATGACAAGTGTGTTCCACTGGCGGAGGTTCGAATGAAAAGGAGCTGCACCTACGGCACCTGACTTGCACCCGACCACACAACGGATGGGACTGAAAGATTGTCAATACATTACATGGACCCCTCTTCAAACACCCCAATGCATATATATATATACTCCAGTCCCATCGAGTATCAGGGGTGTCACAGGATCTCACAAATTCCGCAAGAGGAGATCCTTCCCCACCGGCGCACCGCTTCAAACATTCGTGCACATGAAATGCGCCTTGACCATAGGACGTGGAGCAATCTCCGTCTCACAGCCCAGAGCCTGAAAGATTGCTGTGATTGCTCTGCGCTTGGGTCTTGTGGCGTTTCGTGGAGCTTGTCCTGTTTGGGTTCTCTCAAAGTACCTATATTGAGTTCTTTAGAGTTGCTGTCAGCTGTGCTGCACGGAGTTTGGTGACGTCAAGTCAGTAGACCGGTTTCTCACCCAGTCTTTTGAGCGTCAGATCGGTCCCGCTACATAACACTTGGTTGGATGGCTTGGGAGGTCTCATCGTTTACTGGCCTGGCCCACTTAACCTCGGCGCAAGGGGCGTCACGGCAAGGGGAGAAGACCGTCGACGAGCCCGTTGAGTTCGCCGAGTTGGATCCCGAGTTGGATCCCGTTGCAGCGAGACGTCGACCCTTTTGGTTCAATCACGGATGCAGATGGATTCCCAGAATCTCTCCGGCGAGAGATCACGGGGGTCCTTCTCTTCCGGAGGTTCACTCGTTCGTCCGTTCGGCCGTTGATCGTTCGTCCGTTCGACCTCCGCTTTCGGTGGGTGAAGCTGGTCCCTTTGGCCAAGCCTTGCTCCGGTGGCTGTCTGTATGTCTTCCAAGTATCGCTCTCAGGTATTGCTCTGGTTCCGTTTCCGAGCTACTCAGCTGATATCCAAGTATGGATTCTGTCCATGTGTTCAAGCAGAAGTGATTCACAAGAGCCTCCAACTACTCTGCAATTACGTAATTAGGGGAAACATGGGGAAACTCCATCGGTCCTTCAGTCCCTCTACTCTGCTTTGGATTGGCTGACTGGCTATTTCCCCGCAGCCAGACCGGCCGGCCTCTTTTCACCTATCAGACCCTCATGGGCGCGGAAGGCAGGTGAAGGCCGAAGGCTGGTTGGGTCAGTTGGTTTGTCCAAACATGGAGAACATGGTCCCGCAAGAGAGACATGAAGACTGTCTTTTCCTCTCCAGTAGACTCTACACATGACTGTGTTTTCATGTGTTTTCCAATCATTGCCTTCCAATCTTTCCACTTTCATGCATGTTTGGAGGGCGAAGATTGGGGTGCTTTGGACTTCATATGTCTGCGGCGCTATCAAAACCCGTGCGAATCTGGACGAGCCAAAACGCAACGAGGCGTGGACAACCGGAAAAGGGCGTCTCCCGGGGACAGAAGCGACAGAAGCGTCATTTCAGATTGAATGAATCGATGTTCGTCATCGTGCTGTCCTATTCAATTGCAATGATCGATCTTAAAATTGCCCATGCCGAAGAAGATGTCGTCTCCACTAGGAGATAGATTCGTCAAGAGGCCCACGCGGATTGATCAGGTGGAAACAGCAGTGGATCCCTGGTTTGCCCCTCACCGTCAGGATCAGGACACGGTGTCACACCCCTTCAAAGCTCCAAGCAGGTCCAAGCAAGTGGCACATTCTTCCCAAGGGAAGGCTCAGGCTCAGGCGCGTTCTTTTAAAGGGTGCGGAGGATGTCAGCTGTACATCGACGGATGTAACAAGACGAAACGTGTCCTAATTCAGCAATCAATCAAAGGATGGTGGTCTACATTGTAGAGTACATGATCAGGCTTTGACTCAAGCGATTGGCTCTTCGGAAACTGAAGTGACAACTGAACATACCTAATCAAGCGACACCTAAGAGCAACACCTGAAACGCTTGAGCCGTTGCACTAAAACACCTGCAGCTGGCGGTGGAACCTTCGCTGCCAGCGGTACTGGATGTTCAGACCTGTCAGACCTAGCCCGGCATATGCGGCGTATCTGATACGCAGGCCTTCATTCCAAGTCGGTTCAGTGGCGACCTCTAGGACTTCGCCCGGGTTTGCGTTGTCTGCTGTTCTTTCAAGATCTACATTCGGTCGCTGGGTGTGCCATTCCCATCAAATCCCATACTACGCGGAAACTGAAGAAAAGCAATCACAAAAAACACCAATCCACGCGTGCTCCAAAGTCAGACTTCTATGGAACCTGTCAGGAAACTCTTGCTACCTCTGCCCCTACCTCAGCCCACCCATCTTTGTTGAAAAGAATCCAGCTGCATTCACTGAGAGGTACTGCCAATTCTGAAGCAACCACAGGAATGAACTGCCGATCGCAGTTTGGACATGACACGTTCCTCTCGACCAAGTTTGGGTCGAGAGGGGGCCGTCTCTGGGCAGCGTCATTGATCTGAGACGTCACGACGCACCGCCTTCTTCGGAGTTTCAAACGTCACGTCGAGAGGGGAGGATGGTCATAAGATCTGTAAAGCACGGTGGACGAGTTTTGGGTGGGGCATCCAGTCCCTGAATCATGAGACAGTCAAGGGTAGCTACCACAAAAAAATACAAGAACCCTCCTGGACGTCTCTGAAGAGACGAGCAGCATCGTGGCGCCTGCTGGGCAACGATGAACTTAACATGGTATTCATTCTCCAGAATCCACTGTCCAAACGAATCGCGACTCACAAAACAACATGATATTCTGGATGCTGGTTTTGTGGGATGGTTTAGGGGTCAGTGCCTTGCGGAGCCTAGATGAGCCAAGGTTTGTTGGAATAATACATGTATATAGCTTGAGTGGTGCTTTTCTGTATATACATAATACGATACGAGTATATACCGTTGTCGTCCTCATCATCACGAAAAGGATGTCTGATTGTTCATATTTAATGATAATATACCTTGATCTGGTGCGACCAGTTCTGCTTGGGTGTTCCAACGGCGTTCTTCTCGGCAATCGTTTTTGGAGAATGTACTTTTACATTACCCTGTCGCTGGGAGAAAGCAGGTTTGTGAAAATGACTGCTCAAGGATGTACATGCGGACTATTCTACAGATGAGTGGGAAACCCGCTGACCTGTAGATGTACACTCCCGAAAACTAACATGGACCCTGAGAATGGCATCCTGAAAGACTGCTTTCCTTTACAAACCAGTGGTTTTCAATGGTTTTCAGGGTCCATGTTAGTTTTCAGCGGAGTAATCCTAAATGTGTCCAGATACCTTGCCGTGGTAAATTAAGCACAAGGAACCCAGCTCCACTGTTCACCCCGACCCCCCCGATCCTCTCAGCCAGAGACTGGACTAGGCGTTTGTTCCCTGAAGTCTAGCCCAAAAATCTGGACACAAAAGAGGCATCTTAAGTGTTCAATTGCTTTTTATATTTGGTGTACTATTGTACGACGCTGGTCTCCTTCCTGCATCCTGCTTTTGATTGCGCAGGCTCGTGTGAAAGTATAAAACGAGACCCAAAAAACAGTCTTTGGGGCCCAAGTATGTTTTTAGGCCACAATCTAGTGTTAAAACGTTGTCATCAAACAACTATGCGGTTGTCGGTTGTGCCATCGTCTTTGCACTTCCTTGTTTCTTGCCATAGAGTCCATGTAATCTTTCCACAAATCATTCCATCGAGCCCTGGTCGGCGGAGGACCCCTTTGCGGATGCAGTTTCTTTGTACTGCAATCCGGCAAATCTTGCGGCCTGCCGGTCAAGTGGGGTTAACTGCGTGGCGCATGTTAAACCGGGTCTGGCGCCAGAGGGGGACGCACGCTGCACATCCCGGTACCCAAGACAGGGGAAGACAAGCCCATCTTCCGACTCTTGGAGTGTCTCGAGCAACACCAAATGCAGTCCTTCCAAGCTGAAATCATGAGTCCTTGAGACACCCCGAGCATTGAAAACAGTCGTAATACACTAGTACGGTACTATAGGATAATACTCTTTTCTTTCCTACGCTTCCTCGTCATCTGGTCATTTAAGATTCTTCTTCTTCGTCCAGAAGGACCATCACCTCGGCTACGGCTACTCGTCCCGTTCGGCGTTCGCCATTGGACGTACCACGTGCCGTGCGACTTCGGGCGACGTCAGAAGGTCCTGCCACCCAAACCAGTTCCAAGTACACATACTGATCAAAAGAAATAACTTATAACATCTTATAACTAAATGCTAGGGATACTTGATATTAATTACTTCATATGATTTAACATGGCTAATCATGGCTATACAGGTCATGGCACCAGCAGACCGACCGATTGGAATCCCTAGCAACCGTGTCGGTACCGGTGGATTCCCGCGGCGGATCGTGGCGGACATTCATCCGGTCGGTGGGTTGAATGGATGAACCACTATGAAGCACTCCAGTCGTGCTGGTGAAATGGTGAAACATTGGAAAAGCATGAAAGCAGAATTATACCGATCATACTCGGATCTACATCTACAAATGTGCATTACTATGCAAGGTTCATCTAGGTTCTGTGGGTACCCAGTGGTTCCGTATGAGAGCCCTTGGTTCCTCGTGGCTGCCTGGGATGCCTTGGGGACTTGGGGAGTTCTTGAAGGTCCCTTCATTTGGTTCCACTGAGGATCCTCATAGCGTTTGTCAACCCGGTATCTCCTATGAACACCAGCATTGCGTCTCATCCCCCCAAAAAAGAGTTGGTGAGATGGAAAACTGCAGTCTTTGTCTTTACTGCATGAAAGAATTCCAGATATCGTGAAGGAATCGAATCGATTTCTTCCTCCGGTCCCGAACCTTAAAAGGAACACCCTCCACATCCGGAGTCACCAGAGGCTGCTCTCGCACGTCCCACGGCTGCGCCGTCTCCGGACGACGGACCATGTCCTCGAGACCAAGGGAACACCATCCGAGATCCGAAGAACGCGGCGAGCGGAAGAGTGTTCCAAAAATCGTCGGAAGAGTGTTTTCATCCTCGGACATATGGAAGAAGGGGCTCATGGTCGGCAGCCCGATGAACGTTCATCAGTCACAGAACGTCACGGATCAGGCACTAGATCAGGCCCCTTCGAATTTAACTTTATCTCCGCCCAGTTTCGACCGGGCTCCTGCCCCCAGGCCCTGTACGAAAATTCATCAGGAAGCCTCAGTCCTTGCGGATCAACCCCACCAAAGAATCTCTGAGGTGCCTACCTACGGAAAACCCTTCCGGAAAAAAAAAGAATCCAGTAAATACACACCCTGCGTCGATGTGTTCTTTCAGAGGTCCGTTCCATGATGAGTCAGAAA